GCTGCCCCCTAGCGGGGAACAAAATTTTATTATAAGAGTAATTTTGATGTGTATGCTCAGTACCGAGCATATACTGCTTGGTACCGAGCGTGTACCTAGTGGTATCGAGCATGTACTGCTCAATACCGAGCATATGCTTGCTCGGTACTGAGCAGTGCTGGCTCGGTACCTAGTATGTACCTAGCAATACCGAGCATGTACCTAGCAATACCGAGCATGTACTGAGCTGTACCGAGCTTGTACCTGCTCGGTACCGAACATGTACTGAGCGGAAGAATGAAAGAAAGCCGAATCAGGAGTTATTCAAGCTTTTGTTACTACACCTCAAAGTCAAGGCCACAACACCGCTCACCTGCTCTACCGACCTAACCGAGGCCTGAACGTTTCCTGCGCTCACAACTTCGGCTTCGTTTCCTGCTTTCGAAATCGTTATTGCTTTTGGATTCGTTTCCTGCGTCGTCTCCTTCTGACTTCGTCTCCTGCACTCACGGCTTCGCTCTTTCCCTCACGGCTTCGCTTCTAGTTCGCCTTTCAATTCTCACAGGAAGCCCTAATCCTATACGCGAATACACAAACACGAATCGGCTGCGTCGTATTTACATATATACCGAAGAAAAAATTTCGAGGCGGTGCCTCATACTGCCTCGAGGCGCCAAGCACCTTCCTACCATGATCATTGGAAGCCCAACCATCATTGGATAGCTAAATAAAAATAAAACACAACTAATATTGTTCAAAATACAGTAAAACATAAATAAACCAAAATAACTGAATGCATCAGATATTGGCTTACCATATGAATGTGTTATGCCTCATATCATTTATCCTAGCCAGCCTGGGTTCATTAACTACAGAATCTCTAACAACATCCTCCTTGCCTCAGAATTGCTTGGGGAATTTAAACAAAATTCTAATAGTAAGTTCTATGCAAAATTTGATATTCTCAAAAGCATTTGACAAGGTGTCTAGGGAGTTTCTTTTTTAATAGAATAACTCAGAAAAGTTTTCCGAATATTTTCATTAATTGGGTAAAAGGCTGTGTTGAAGAAGTAAGTTTTTGTGTTTGCCTTAATGGTTCACTTCAAGGCTACTTTACCTCTACATCTGATATAAGGCGGGGCTGCCCTCTCTCTCTACTTAATTTGCATTATCATGGATGCTCTATCAAATTTATTGGATTGGGATAGCTATTCTGATACTTTTGCTGGAATCACATCTGTGAATTTTAGTATTTCCCATCTGGGTATACTAATGACCTTCTGGTATTTGGGAATGCTACACCTACAAATACTGATCATCTTAAACTCATTTTGCAGCAGTTTGCTAACTTTTCTGGATTTCTTATTAACTATTCTAAAAGCTCGATTACTTTCTCAAACAACTGTTATAATGCTGACCTTCTTCCAAATATTCTTAATATCCCTATTTCTCTTTCTCCCTTTATATATATGGGTTTTCCCATTTCACTTAAAAAACTTTTTATTGCAGATTTCTCTCCTCTTTTACAAAATATTTCTGTATATTTTGATGGCTGGAAATCCAAATTTCTATCTTTTGGTGATCGCATTCATTATATTAAGTTCAATATTTGTAACTTGCTGGCTTACTGGATTAGGAGATCTATCATTCCAAAAACTTGCTATGAGTTTGTGGATAAATTTTGTTCAAGATTTCTTTTTCATTACGACTCTGCTGCCAAAAAACTGAATATTATCTCTTGGAAAAACACTTGTAAATTTAAGCATTTTGGTGGGTTTGGAATTCCCTCCATCCCTGCTCTTTATCATGGCTTTTGTTGGTCCTTAATTTGACATATATTAAATAAGGAATGCTTACTTGCTAATTGAGTTATTCAAAAGTATGTTTCAATCTGGAAAGCCCCTAATTCTAAGTGTTCTAAGTACTGGAAATTGATTTGTGCCACTGCTTTTAGGATCAGAGATAAAATTTCACCCAAAGTTACTTCTGATAGCCATCTCTCCTGATTTGGGACCCTTGGTGCAAATGGGTGCCACTCTTTGAATTGTTAGAGCCTATTATTATAAATGATTATCTGACTCATTCTGTTAAGAGCATTATTCACCTTAATGATTGGAAAATTCCTTCGAGTTCTCCAAATTCGGTTAAAAGTTGAATCACTCAAACTGATATTCATCTTAATACAAGCTCTGTTATTCTTTGGGAGAAGTTGAAACATCAAAAATTTAGAAACTTTATATCTCACTACTTTGCCGGTTTACAAGAAGTTGATTTGATTAATTTTGTTTGGCATAAGAGTTACGCTTTGAGTTTTTCTGCTTTTATGTGGCTTGCTATGCTTGATGGTTTTAAAACTGCAGATGTTTTGGCTAGAAGGAGCATTCAAGTAAATCAAATATGTGCTCTCTATCATCTTGAGGCTGAATCACATGGTCATTTGTTCTTTGAATGTGATTTTTCTCATTCTATCATCACTACCTTTTTGCCTCGTTCTGTATCATTTCTCCTTTGACCAAATTTGAAGCAACTGTTTGAATGTATTGCTGAACTGCAGAGTATTTCGAAAGTTTCTAAGAAATTTTACTCTCTTATTGTTTGCTGTTGCATTTACTATATTTGGAGGGAGTGTAACAATCGTAAATTCCGCAACAATTCATGCTGTTCTTCTACTGTCTGTCACAGTATAAGAGAAGCTTTAAAACTTAAAACTATCTCTTGGAAGAATTATCTGGAGATTATGCTCTTTTATACAATTCACTTTGAGGAAGGTATTTGCTTGTTGACTAGTTTTGTCTGAGAATTCTCATATGGCTTGCCTTGAGTTGTTGTTTCAGGCTTTCAGCTCTATTGGGTACAGATTGGTGTGCTGGGGCATTTCCATCTTACAAAATTTTTGGGTTTTTCCTTTTATTTGTAATTGCACCTTTGTTATGCTTTTTTTATGCTTTCGGATGCCTTCGTCTTATCTTCTTAAGTCTAAGCATTCAATTTTGGCTGGGTCGTTGATGAATGGGAGGTATCCTCCGCCTGGCTTCTTAGAAATCTTCTTAGGAAACCAGCTCAGGTTATTTGGAAGGCTATTGCAGCAACCAGTTATGTTTCTCGGATGGCTGCTTTGGCGACTAGTTCTTGTTTCTTTCTTGGATGGTCTTGGGCAGCATTTAAGAGATCCTGGCCTCTAATTATATGACGAATTTGGATGTCTTTCCAAAGTCCATTTTGAGCCTGCTTATTTCATCTATGTTTTATCTTTTCAAGATTTTCTTCTTTACTTTCTGATCTCGTATGAGATATAATTTTTCCTTTATAGTTTCAAGTTTATGTAAATTCCTTCTTCCGAGCTTTTTTTGCTCTTTATCCTTGTACTTATTTTTTACAGTTAAATGAAAATGGGCTAAGCCAAACTTTAGCCCCCCCCCCCACAAAAAAAAAGAAAGAGTCATCCCACTAATTCAATTTAAGCAATTCTAACTTTTTCAAAATCAAATAAATGATAATTCTAACTAAACTCTTAAATAGAAAAAAATGAGAATCGAGACATTTTATCTTGATGATTTGAGGAAGATTGAGGAGTAATCCTTGAAATAAAGAAAGAAATACTCATAAATTTATAAATAATTCATAAAAATAATAAATGAAATAAATTATTAATATATTTACTTGATTCATTATTAGAAACGTATGAACCACAAGCAACTAATAAAAGAACTCGAGGGCCAATTGACTATCCATTGTGATGCAAGACGATCGGGTAGTATTCTCTAATGCAACTAATATCATGTATAATATATATTCATGCGAAGGAAAATTGAAGATTCATTGAGCACAAATATTTAGATAATTTAACAACTCATTTCCTTTAAATAAAAACAAATAATGGTTGTATTGCAAGTGAAAAAAATGAGGTCTCATACTATTATAAGATGATTACTTTGCTTGGAATCAAGCAATCACACTTGCATTGCACTTGAAGGAATTAGAAATCTAACTTGCACTCATAAGATTAAAAATTAGAAGAGAGAAGTTTTATTTTAGACATTTTTAAATTATGTGCCTATGATTATTTAATTATAGACAATTAATATCCCCTCGTATATATGGTTGGCAAAACAACAGTTCTGTTAGGTTACTGGAATTCCAGCATACAAATCTTGATTTGATCCCAATGCTTGCAGTTTAAAAGGATTATAACATTCGCTAAAAAAACCACGTCCAATGTTCATCCTGACAAAGTTAACTCATCGATTTAGCAACTGTAATAATCAGTGCACACAGTGAAGACAACAAAAGCCATCGTATTTTGATAATTACGTGTCAAATAGCAACCAAAATCCCCAGATCACGTCAACCTTTCCCATCATTTGCAGACTTTAGGAATAGTTAATAGGAACCCAATTAATTCCCAACAGAAACCGGCATTTTGCACCTCTTTTTTGAATTTTTAAATGACCACAATTAAACTAACTTGAATCCACGCCAAGCCATATGAACCAACCTATTCCTAGGAATCAAAACATAGCCTTTCTGAAGTCCATCATCACAGGTGTGCTCTAAACTATCAACTAATAAAAATTAGTTGAGTATGGGCAATTTTTTGATGCATATGTTCCTAAAAAGATGAAAATGCAAATTTTTTTCATTAGTAACATTGAAAATTGGGTTGGCACCATTAGCTTTTGATTCTCTTGAACGTCTGCTTTAGCCGCAACTTTAAATAGGTTATAGGCACATTAAAAGTTTTTGTTACCTTTACAGTGTATTGGTTAGATTAAATATATAATTTCATCCATGCCTGTTTTGGTAATCTTCATGTTATTTCAATGATGCATCCTTTCATTCTTATGATCCATGACTATTTGTTCATTTTAATGATGGCTGAAAAAAAAAAAAAAAGAAGGTTACCCTTGTATTCCCGCTGTTGAATTCTAAATGATTTTAGGTTTCGTTTTCTTGAGAATAAATCTATTTTTTGAGTATCTTCCACTTCAATGATTTACGTGTGCTCTATCTTCGTGCTTCAGGTCCAGATTTGCTCGTCTAAATTATCAAGGATTTTATTCTGTTATTCTAGAGAAGGATGATACACTTATCTCTGTGGCATCAATAAGGTAGTACAAGCTATGTGTGTTATTATCTGAATTTATCCCTATTGGTATCCTGAATCTACCTGCAAAACTTTTGATATCATATTTTTATGCCAATTAATTATGAGGTTATTATTAAGCATAGAATTTCACCATTTTCCACCATTCAAATTCAAAATTTACAGTTTTCTACTAATGGTTTTTCAAGGTGTGTTTGCTACAAAGTGATTTCTGGACAAAAGAATTCTTACCTTGTAAAAATAATGTTATGGAAAGCAAATCAAAAGTTTATTGAGCCTCGTCTGTGTTTTGCCCTTTTTTTCCAATAACATGACAAATATGCTGAGCTGGATAGGGATGATTGAGTTGACTACAAGAAAATCATGATGAATGTTTTAGCTATATATTATATTTTTGGGGTATTATACAAGTTCTATATTCCTCTATTCAATGTCACATTGAGTGTCTCGACCAAGCCTACTCAGTGTCATATTAAGTGTCTCGACCAAGCCAATTTTAGTTTCCTTGATCATATTACACTAGTAGGAAAAATTAGCATTGTTAAGAAGCCATTATAAGCCTCTCACAAGTACACTGGCAGCAAGCTTTTATGTGCTTCGAAGTCAGAGCAACCCCTAAATAATCCCCCAACTCCCAACATTTTTCCTGTCTAAAAGCTTTTATTAAAATGATTCCTGGTGCCCTCTTGTCTCTGTCTAAAATTGTTAGATTTGGCATAAGAAAAAAAACATAATTTGTAAAGTTCATCCATGAGCTTTAGATCTGACGGAGGTTGAAGAAATGCTTCTCTTGCTTGAAATCGTCCGGGACAAGATAGATATATTTATGTAATTATAAAGAGAGAAAGAGAAGTACTCCAACAGAAACAAGTGGTTTAGAATGAGTGAGTGAGGGGGTTGGTTGATGATAGGAGGGAGCCATCCATGGGGTAAGGGAAGCCTTTTGCTGCAAGTGCAAATGTTCATTCAATAATTCTACTGTTTTAGCACATGCCATTTATGAAAACATTCTCATACGTGCCTAAAGTAGCAATATTGGTAATGACTGATGTGTACAAAACACACATGAAACTAAAAAAGTAAAGAGGCGTCATTCACAATGAACTATCAAGTTGGGTTTTGAATCTGGTAAGATAATAATGTGGACGGTTCTGCCTTAATGTATACTGCATTATACAGACCCTAGTAAAACCCATACTGTAACAATGACTTTTTTTATTGAAATCTACAGCCTTCATATCACAATAGAGGTCATCTGATTGTGGCGTGCAAACCAACCCATTGGGCAACATAAAATAAACATGATAATAAAAGAAACAAAACATGCTATCATTGATCTATCTGTTTTGAACCTTAGAGAATAAACTTGGCTGCATCTAATCCAATGAAACTTTATTCTGGTCTCGGTAGTTTCCACATTTATCGTTGCCAGACTCTGTCCTTTTCTTTTTCAAAAACTTCATCTCATATTAACTAAAAAAAAATTAAGGACTTAAGCTAATAACTAAAAGCATATTTAATGTACATGTAACATTATTTTGCAGGGTGCATGGCATAAAAGTAGCAGAAATGCCTTTCATCGCAACATGTGGTCTTCAACGTCGTCAAGGAATGTGCAGGCGTCTTATGAATGCAATTGAAACGGTATCATATTTCTACCTGCTTAAACATAAAGTTAAAATAGAATATGCCTCTCCATGTTTATTTCTTCTGATACTAAAAATATCTATTAAATTGTAAACCATTTCATAATGCTTTGAGAAATGACAATGCATCATACAGTTGAGTTCTATTTTATCTGAATGCTCTTGTTGAATGAATGTGTAATTTCTATGAAACCAGATCTCCATGTGTTCCCCTACAGTTCTTTGGGCAACCTGAGTATGTGAGTTGACCATAACCTTATGTAGTTTGGAATCATTGATCTTTCTAATGATTCACTCTTGAGCAAAGAAAGTAGTTTATCAGAACTCTTCGTTTAAGGAGTGTACTTCAAATTATGCAACTGCTCTAGTGTTTCGATCAGTATGCTTAGATTGCTAGAAGTGGTTTCAACTTCTATATAGCATTGTAATACTTATGTGCTAGCCAGGTGTGAGTTCCCAAAGGGATCTTTTACTTTGGTTTATGGTTTGATAGTGATTTCAAGAGGATGATTGATTAGTTAGTTTTTCCTTGCGAGTAAGGGTGTGTTAAGATTTGGATTCAAAACTTTCTATAGGTGCAATCCTTCATAATTAATTATATTTTTTAACTACAAAAGAGCGCGCAATGAAAGATTTCAATTAGACTTTGGCTTAGATTAATTAAATAGGGGAATGGACGGTGGAAAGGCTATAAATTTGATTAAAATATCTCATAGTTTCATGGTTATATTTTTCCCTTTCTAATTCTAGAGATTTCTCCAATTCTCTAATTTTTATTTCTTGATTTGATATTACTACCTTTTGTAAATTGGTAGGAGTTTTTGGAAAAAGAGTAATGTTGGAAGTATTTACCTCAGCTCTTAGTTTATTAATTTCATTATTTAAAAACTCTACTTGCCTATTTATACCATTAAAACATATGGTTAAGCAATTTAAAGTATGTATCATAGCTTTTGTATCCGATTTATTACACCATAAATTATCTAATAAAGTAATTTGATATAGATTTAATGGTTTTTCTATAAGTATTTTGGGTCGGAATTGAAGATTCGTCCCCTGCCTATTGGATAAAGCTAAATGTTCAAAATGAATAATATTAGTGAAGCTATGTTATGGCTTTGAGGGAGATGAAGGAGATGGTTCCATTGATTCCTGCAAAAACAAAGTATAATGATTATTAGTAATAAATTCCTATTTTTTCTAACTTTTAATCATATTAATCTAAGGAGGTTTGTAATCTGAAGATCTAGTAACTCTAGATAAATAGTCTGCTAGAAAATTATTATCTCCTTTAATATGTTCAAAATTTACTTTGTATCCATTTCCTTCTATTATTGTAATAAAATTTACCCATCGTTTGCTATATATTTTCTTTTCATTTTTTATTTTTATAAAAATGTACTATAGCTTCACAATCAGTTCTTATAGTAAATTCTTTTTGTAAAAATAATTTAAAGCTATGTAAGGCATTTATTACTCCTAATATTTCATAATCTAAAGAAGTTAATGATTTAGGAAGTTGCTTAAAACTTCCTGAAGCATATCTACATAATTGTTCTTTTGACTGGAAAGCTTCTTTATACGGTTTTATTTTTAATTCAGCTCCCCAACCATCTTGAGATGCATCTACTATTACTATTTTATAATCTGTTTCTAAAGGTAGAGTTAATTTTGGTAAGGTTTTGATTTGTGTTTTTATTTTTTGTATTATCTTAATATCTTCAGTATTGAAATACTTTTAACCAGTTTTACTAGTCTTTTTATATAAAGATTTTATAGTTTTTCCTAAATCTTTTATATACGGACGAGCATAATTTAAGAGACCTAAAAATTTTGGTAATTCTTTAGTGTCTTCTATTTTATCTGGAAATTCTAAAATTTTTAAAGCTATATGATCTTGTAATTCGATTGTGTCATTTCCAATTTTTTGGCCTAAAAAATCAATATATTCTTTAGCTACTTCAATTTTCTTTTTTGATAATATAATACCATTATTAATACAAAATTTTAAAACTTCTTCAATGTGTTTATAATGCTCTTTTAAAGTGTGTGATGCTATTAAAATATCATCTATATATACCATAACATAATTTAAATGGCCAAATATATTATCCATTTTTCTCTGAAATATACTTTGAGCATTTTTTAATCCAAAAGACATGATTTCCCATTCATAATGTCCTGTGGGAGTAGTAAATGCTGTCCAAGGGATAGAGTTTGGATGAAGTTTTATCTGCAAAAAATCAGATTTGCAATCAAATTTACTAAAATATTTTTTATCTTGTATTAAATTAATTAACATATCTTTATCTGGTATTTTATATCCATCATCTTCAGTATTATCATTTAGTCTTTTATAGTTGATAATCATTCGGGCTTTATTTCTTTTGATTTCAGCATGGTTTCTAACCATAAAAGCTGCAGATCTATGCGGTGATTTTGATAGTTTAATTAATTTTAACTTTTTTAATTCATTAATTTGAATAAGGAATTCTTCTTTATCTTCAGGTGAGTATTCTAATTCTTTAGTTTTAATTATTAAATCTTGATTTATAATAGATAGTTCAGCAAGTTCTTTATTTTTATCCCAATATTTAATTGGGTCTTCGCCTATAATTTGTATTTCTTTAGCTAATTGAAAATTGTTTTCTAAAGCTTTAGGAATGCTAAATGTTTGTTGTTTATCAGGTGAAGATTTATAACAAATAATTAGAAAAAGAGAATCAAGAGGCAGAAAAAGTTCAAAATTATTTATTCAATATTATTTTAGACATCTGAAGATAATATGTTAAAACAACACCAATACATGTATCTTCCTGAAATGGATGATATTATCAAAAGAACTATTTTCAAAAAGATTCAAAATAGCAAAAGAACAGATATGGAATCAGCCTATAAAGAAATAGTCATTTCTTATATATCAAATGAAGAAGTGTCAGGCATCTCTTATGCATCAAAAACATTATTTTCATCAGCTTCAGAAAATCGACAGTCTCTGTAAAATCTGTATGCCAGGGTTTTACATGATTCATCTTTCCCTTAATTTGACTCATATCAAAAGGTTTCAGAAATGGACCATTCAAAAATTAATGGAATATGAGCTACTGAGTAAACTCATAATAAGCAGAGACGACAAACTATCAGAGCAAATTGAATGCCTTGAACATCCAGAACTCAAAAGGATCATCTGTCACATTTTTTAAGACTATAGAATTTATTTTATCACTATAATCATAAATTCTATTGGACCAGCATACGAAGAATTAATGGATGGAGCAAAACACATCATAGAGATCCATAAAACTCCAGAAAGCTTTAAAGCTGAACAGTATGACGACACTCCTCACTCATCTGTTGATTCAGAGTTATCTAGCCAGTCCTTAAAATATTATAGAGCTTTGCAAATAGCTCAATTCATAAGAGATTTTTCGAAACCAATATTCTACATGCAGTTAGCATACCATGATAAAGAAATGATCATTTTTCTGCATAACAAATTAATCAAGGGACCGTTATTCAGATTTCGTTATTATGTCAAAGATATTAATCTTATAGAACATGTCAAGTCCTTTTCTTCACACCTAATCGTCACTAAAGGCGATTATCAGACATATTATCAGAATTTAACTCCGGAACGAAATATGCCCCTCTCAAATTCTGAGGCAAATGATCGATTCTGGACTGATGGGATGGATGACGAAGGATTGACAAATATAAAAAATACAATGTAAGGGTAATAAGGGCAAAACTAATTTATTCAGATAAGCTAATAGGAAGATAAATGATAAGTATGACAAAAGGTCTCAATCAAGTACAAATTGTTACTATTCACTTTTTACTATAAAGTCCTTTTGTACTGTAGAAGTTCTTTTATACTGTAGTAAAATATTTATTTAAAAGTTTGTAGGCGGTAATGATACCGCAGTTGTGTTATATGTTTTTGTAATATAAATAGAGAGCTCGTCTCTCTCAAAAGGTGTGGTTGAATGGTATGAGAGCTTAAATAGTATTGTAAGAATTGTGATATAGTTTTTCTTTCTGCAAGCAGTCATCGTCAGTCTTTTGTAAGTATTTCTTCTTTAATAAAAAGCTTTTATCCAAGATTTTCTTTATAGCAATTAGCCATAGTTCATAATTTATTTTGTGGATATGAGATCACTCATTATGAGTGAGTAGTTCTATATTATTTCTCCCCTAAGGGAGATATGCTTTAATAAAACTTTTCTGCATGCCAAAATCTCTATTTGATGAAGATAAGCTAAATTTCTGTTCTTTATCTATCATATACAAGTTCTCTTTGAGAGATGAAATAACTTTCGACCTCTATGATCGAGTACAGTGAATCTAAAAATTCACGAGTTTGAACCCCATAAGTCCTCATTTATGCTTTACCTTTGGGCTGGTGGAAAATACTTATGAATCTTTACATAATATCTGTATCGTCGGTGTATGTCGAATTATTCTCGCACGTATCATAGAGAATTTTTTTATCATAAATAATAACAGGAATTTTTCTTAAATTTAACTATAGAGGATGAGGCATTAAAAAAATTTTAAAAAACAACTCTGACCTTTCTGGGAGAAATAATTCTTAAAAATATCTTGATATATCCATAAAAAGAATTGCCAAAATGGTTCTCGGATTTCGTGAAGAAATACCTAGAGAAATTAGAAATAATTTAGCTCCAATAGAAGCAGATATTATAGCAGAACTTAGAGAAATAAATAACAAAATAGACACAATTTTATTAAAACATTTTAATCAATAATTCAAGCAAATTCTTCAAGCCATTAAATGGCATATAGAAAAATATCCTAACATAGATCGAGCATAGCAAATTAGATCATTAGGAAAAAAAATGTTAGATGAATTAAACAGTTTGCTTCATAGATAAAATAATGGTTATTCGTTTAAGAACTGATTTACTCATATAAATTAAAAATAATTTAGTATCATTTTATTCAAATATTGTTGCTGAACTCAACAATATAAATAGT